CGAACGTTTCGACTGCTCAAGCACGTCCTTCCCAGAAATAGCAGGAAGGGCCCTCGCCCACCACTTCAATTCTGCAATCCTATCGACGAGGCAGCATGACTGTTAGACGTGCATATATCCGAAGAGCGGCAGCTATCTACCATCGAGCTATGGAAAGAAGAATGTTGGGAATCTCATGTCGGGACCACATTCCCAACATAGTAATCAGATCGTGGGAGGGAGTGAAGGACGCTGTCTTCGATAGTAGGAAGGGGAAGCTGCGGTTGACTGGACGTGAGCTCGTGTCACTGACGAGAGATGGTCGTCGAATGGTACCTTCGCGGGCAGACCACCGGTAAGCCGCTTAATCGCCCACCGCGATGATGAGAAGATTACATCAGGGGCCAGCAAGGGAAGGACGTACTTGGAGGGAGAAGCCTCGAAACCTTGAGGATGGGCAGGTGGGCTGCGCCAATGCGATTCGTCACCAATTTCCTGCCGGACAAAGTGATTTCACCTGCTGTTCTACGTTCACCAGTGGATGGTAGTGCTTTTGAGATGTAAAGCGAAGTTCTCGACCCATTAGTTGAGGACTGCTTTTACATTCGCGCCTGGTATTAAGCGTGTATGAAAGGGGGAACTGTTTAAAATTCAAAATCATATGAAGCGATACTCGCATCTGTCACAAAAGAAGGTTAATAATAGCGGATTCTAGAGCTATTCTCCTGGTCCATCTCTTCAACTCCTAGTATCTTTACAACAAACCAAAGAGGAAAAAAACTATCATGCACAACTCCTCTAAAACTAGATTTAATATCGTACTGTACCGTCCCCCCTCCCCCTTGCTCATAGTGCCTGAATGGCCGGCTGCATCTCATACAACTTTGTTCCCTAGAGCCACGTCGTGCTAACTACGAACAATGTTTCAGGAGCTGTCACTCGTGCGTTGGCACGCCAGAGTCGATTAAGTAACACATAACTCCTCCAAGAGCAGATCTCGAAGTGGAACCTATGCGATCACTTCGATCTGGTTACTGTTGCTGTGCCACGATGAGCTCTCACAACATGTGTATTTAGAAGAGAAAGTCTTCTCTTGTATCGCAATTCTTCACACTCACTTTTTTCTTCACTTGCAAATCAAGCGACGAACCAAATACTAGTGAAGGATCATTGAAACGGGGTAGGGGGGGGGGCGGCGAACTGCACGTAACTGCTTAACAGGCAGATCAACACCATGAAAGGCAACGTTCCTACAGGTCTTTCCAAAGATACAATAGAGAAGTGGTTGTGTAC